GCCACAGTTGAAAGACAAAGAATCTTAAAAGCAGTAAGAGAGCACTTATAAGGGAGTGCCTATACAACTGTCAGCTGATTTCACAACAGACATTTTTCAGGGCAGAAGGAAGTGGCAAGAAATATTCGGAGATGAATAGCAAGGACCTACAACCAAGATTACTCTACCCAGCAAAGCTATCATTTAGAATTGAAGGTCAGATAAAGAACTTCACTGACAAGAAAAGCTAAAGGAGTTCATCACCACCAAACCAGTATTACATGAAATGTTGAAGGGTGTTCTTTAAGAAGGGAAGAAGAAGGAAGAAAAAAAGATTAGCCCTAACCAGTTTGGCTCAGTGGATAGAGCATCGGCCTGCAGACTGAAGGGTCCCAGGTTCGATTCTGATCAAGGGCATGTACCTTGGTTGCGGGTACATCCCCAGTTAGGGGGTGTGCAGGAGGCAGCTGATCGATGTTTCTCTCTCATTGATGTTTCTAACTCTCTATCCCTCTCCCTTCCTCTCTGTAAAAAAATCAATAAAATATATTTTTTAAAAAAAAAAAGGTTAAAACATATGAACAATAAAATGGCAATAAAAACATCTATCAGCAATTGAATCTAAAAATCAAAGTAAACGAACAAGAAGTCTAATAAACAAGATAAACTGATGAATGAAGTAGAATAGAGGCATTGAAACATGGAACAGACTGATGAGTCTCAGAGGGAAGGGGGGAGGAAGGTGTGGGAAGAGATTAACCAGAGATCTTATATGCTTACTAGAGGCCTGGTGCACGGATTCATGCACAGTGGCAGTGGGGTGTTCCTCAGCCTGACCTTCGCCCTCTCATAATCTGGGACCCCTCACAGGATGTCTGACTGCCAGTTTAGGCCTGATCCCCGCCTGGCCTGGCCTGGCCTGCAGGGATCAGGCCTAAACCAGCAGTTGGACATCCCCCTGGGGATGTAGCAGTGCACCAAGAAGCAGGCAGCCAGGGAGGAGCCCCAGCCGGGCTGGGCACCGTGCTGCTTGTGCTCATCCTGGCCACTGCGCCTGGTGCCGCTGTTTGGTAGTGCTGCCATGGAGTCGGGAGAGGCTCCTGGTGCCTCAGCTGCGCTTGCCAGCCATGAGCCTAGCTTCTGGCTGAGTGATGCTCCCCTGTGTGAGCGCAGTGATCACCAGGGGGCAGCTCGTGTGTTGAGCATCTGCCGCCTGGTGGTCCGTGTGCGTCATAGTGACTGGTCGACTGGTCGTTCCGGTTGTTCAGTCGTAACGGTCGCTTAGTCTTTTATATATATACTAGTGGTCCGGTGCATGAAATTCATGCACTCAGGACGAGGGCGGGGGTCCTCCAGCCTGGCCTGTGCCCTGTCACAGTGCGAGAGCCCCGCAATCCATCGCCCCAAAGAGGTAGGCCCTGCCCAACCATCCGGGGCTTCTCGATGGATTGCTCCAAAAAGATAGGCCAGAGCTGGGGAAGGCCTTCAGACCCCCAGGCCGGGCCACGGCAGAGGCCTGCAGACCCCCAGCTCAGGCGCACGGAGGCCCCGCCGTGGCCCCGCTCCTGGGCCGGGCCACAGTGGAAGGGCCTCTCTGTGCACCTGCAGACCCCCAGGCTGGCGCAGGGGGGCAGGGATGCGAGCTTCAAGTTCCCGGGGCCGGCGCAGGGGGCAGGGACGCGAGCCTCACATCCCGGGCCCGTTGCTGTGGTCGGGGACGCAAGCCTCATGTCTCCGGGCCAGCACAAGGGCGGGGATGCGAGCCTCACGTCCCAGGGCCCGTTGCCAGGGTCAGGGACGTGAACCTCATGTCTCTAAGCCGGCACAGGGGGCGGGGACACAGCCTGCTGATCGGTCGTTACGTGACGGTGTCTCGACCAATTTGCATATTATCCTATTATTAGATAGATAGATAGATAGATAGATATGTATTACCTGTGGACACAGACAATAGGGTGATAAAGGTCTGGAGTGGGGCAGGAACCAGGTGGAGGGTGGTAATGGGGAGAAAAATGGGGGACAACTGTAATACTCTCAACAATAAAGATTTTTTTAAAAGTTAAAACAGTAAAAACAAAAGGATAATTAGCTGTTAAAATATTTTGGGATGTCTCAAAGGATATTTCTGGAAGAGTCACTGAGCTCACCAATATTATAAAAATATAATAGTTTTTATTTTGACTTCAACGACTGGTTTATTCAGCTTATTATTGGACAGAGGTATCAAAGACATTTCATCAGAGAACCCGGTGTCTAATTTTTTATCAACCTTGAAAAGTTAAGGGTAATCCCAGACATTCTAGCTTAAAGTACTTGAACTCACTTACATTACAATATTTATTACTTACTTTTTTTTTCTTTTGTCATCTTTTTTTAGAGGGCAGCCTAACCCAGTAGTTCTTAACAGTAGAGGAGGGAGGAAACATCTTGTGTTGTGAAAAAGCATCCCCAGATGATGCTGGTAGACTTCCTGTTTCTGCTCTAAAATAGACATGTTAACTTTTAACTGTTGGCACAACTAGTGAATTTTTTCCACTCCATAGGCTCTTGATTCTTTTTTTTTTAAGAAACTTTTTAATTATGAAAAACATACAGAAAGTGAAAAGACTAATAACTAAACACCCATAAACTAGGTTCAGCAACTGTTGCCATAATTGCTATATTTCCTGCTGAACCATTTCAAAGTATATGGCAGAAGTCATGAGACTCCACCCTAAATACTCCAGCATTCATTTCCTAAGAATGACATTTTCACACCTAAGTATTAACAGTACTTTCCTGAGAGTATAATCCATCATGAATCTAGTCTATATTCAGATTTTCCCTTTATTCCAATGTCTTTTTAGTTGCTTTTGTTCAAACACACTGCATTTTACAATTATGTCTCCTTAGTCCTTTCATTCAAGAATAGCCTCCTCCAACCCTTTCTTTCCCAAAGACACTAACTTTTTTTAAGACACCATGCCAGCTGTCTTGTCTCACACTAGATTTGTCTGATTGCTTCCTGTGGTTTAATTTGTTCTGCTCTGAGTCTGGCCCTGGTATTCCTTGGAAGCTGAAAACTAAGTCTGGAGGTTGGGCTGGGTTCAGGTTAACCTTTGGCAGGACTGCTTCACAGACGGTGCCTACAGGAGCCAGTCACACCTGGAGTTGTGTGCTAGGATATCAGGTCGTCCCACTGTCAAGATGCTGAGTTTGACTTTTGGTTATCAGGTGACAACCAGAGTATGTTTTTCCCATTTCAATTTAGAAGTCATCTTGGGGTCACCCTTTGGCACCACTTGTATACCTTATTTCCTCACCAGCCTTTTACCTGATAATTTTTGTATCCATCCTTCTCTGAATCAGAGATTTGATTGGCAGTGGCAAAATGGTGGTTTTCAAATTATTTTTACTTCTCCATTTATTTAGCTGGCATTCTCTTCTGAAGAAGAGCTTTTCTTCATCAGCTGGAGATATTTCTAGTTTTTCCTAAAAAGGTAGGATACATGCTTAGTTCTTTACCATTTTCAAAGTAAGAAGTCAGGGTAATAGTCACATATAGTTATGGCAAATTATCTTTTTTTTTAAAGTAGATTTTTGCATATTTAATTTGTTGAAATGAATTTTAGTCATTGTTAAATTATAACACCTGTGGCCAGGCTCTCATGTTACCAAACTGTAAATGAAATGTATACAAGCAGAATTATAATACTATCAGGGAAATCTAAAAACTGAATGTCTAATGATATAAAGGGATGTTTATTAGTTGGGATAATGTTATTGTGGTTATTTTTAAAAGTACAAAAGACCTTACTTCTTAGAGATGACAAACTGAAGTATGTACTGATAAGATTTACTTTGAAATAGTTCATGGATGGGTGGGGACAAGAATAGTTGAGGGTAGAGATGAAACAAGCTTGGCCACATAGTGGTAATGATGGGTGCTTAGGTCTTATTATACTATTCTTTCTGTGAATGTTTCAAAAATTTCCTAATAAAAGCTTTTGTAATTATTTGAGTTTCTGTGGATATCTGCAGTTCAAATTTAATAACACACTTTACTTTGTATTTATAATTTTATCTATTAAAAGCTTATTTTGAAGGAGTGTGTACATCTTCAACTTTGCTGATCTAAAGCCAGAAATTAACTAGTATTGAAACTTATGCAGCAATTAATTTAAATGGAAATAAATATTTGTTATGGGGTGGGGCCACAACATTAGTAACAGAGAAACAGAATTTCTGGAGGATGAGGCCCAGAAATCAGGATTTTAAAAAGATTCCCAGGTGATTCTAATGTGCAGCCAAGGTTGAGAACCACTTTCTTAGTGGGTCAGCTTTCCTCATGAAGAGTCCACTTTCCCATAATAGTGCTCTTTTATTTTGTGTACCATCAAATATATTGACAAATTGTTAAATGTATTAAACGTTTATGAATTGGCCTGGCTGTTGTGACTCAGTGGTTGAGCATCGACCTATGAACCAGGAGGTCATGGTTCGATTCCTGGTCAGGGCACATGCCCAGGTTATAGGCTCCATCTCCAGTACTGCGCATGTGGGAGGCAGCTGGCTAATGATTCTCTCTCATCATTGATGTTTCTATCTCACTCTCTCCCTCTCTGAAACCAATAAAAATATATTTTAAAAAAAGAAAAATGTTTATGACTTGGTGTTTATGAATCACCAAATATTTTATATACTGCTTCCTCCCAAATAAATCCTTCAGATTTTGCTTTTGATGTTGGCACTACAAGATCCATGGGAAATAGAATCAAATGAAATACTATTGAGTGAAGAAAAGTGCACTGTGCAAATATGATTTATTCTAACAAAAACATATTGGGGACAGTACTACCATGAGTGTGAACATGGTCACCTGATGGTCCATATTATTTGTGTAAATTTTCTATACACAGATCCAAAACATTCACAGATGACATAGTTTCCACAGCCTCACACACACACCCTCCTTGTACCATAATATCAAACCACAAGAACAAATGATTTAATTTTAATCAACTGTTCTCCCTACTTTTTAGGATGGCTGCTGTTTTTCTAAGGTCAATAATATTACAAACCATAAAGACTGAAAATAACTGTCTTAGAAGATGTTTGGGTAAATACATCGTGCAAAAGATGGCACTAGCACAATTGCCCCTTACTGCTTCTGTCCCAAGACTGTCCTACCTAATTCATGCAAAAGCTTTTAGTACTGTTGAAGACTCCCAGCATGAAAGAAAAAAGAGAAAAAATAGTGAAACTGATTTTAGTAACATTGGAAGAAAAATTAGTGAGCGAATCATTCATGTATTTGATGAGAAGGGCAATGATTTGGGGAACATGCACCGAGCAGACGTGATTCGACTTATGGACGAGCGAGACCTGCGACTTGTGAAAAGGAAGCCCAGCACAGACCCTCCCGAGTACCAGCTCATGACAGGCACACAGATTCACCAAGAGCGGCTGAGACTGAGAGAGAGGGAAAAGGCCAGACCTAAGACTGGTAGGTAGTTTGCTCTTTGCCCCTTGAATTCCTTAAGACTATAATCAGCAGTTTAAATTGGGCATTTGCTATGATGCCTGTGACAATGAGTTGAAAAACAAAAATTCAGTTTTACCACTGTTTCCAATGCTTTTTTCATCCCTCATTTCTGTTCCTTTTTAAATTTTCCTTGTATCCTGTGTCGATCACCTTTTTATAAACCTATGTAAAATGAAGAAAAACAAGGTAAACACCACCAAAATAATAGGAACTCTTTTCCCTTTGCTCTTAGCTTTGTCTCCTAATGCCCAGGCAGGCAGAGTAACTGATGGGTGTAATGTAATGAGACTCAGAAGAGATGGATTCAAGTTCCTATTCCTCTCCTGAGCCACTCATTTACCCTCCTTTTTAAAAAAAAAAAAATCTCATCTCAAAGTGGAGGTGTTTGGCTAATTCCGCAGAGGCACTTTTTAAACTCGGGAGTGATTCATAGAGCATCTATGCCTGAGTATTTTGTTACAATACTGGTAGTGACACTCGTTTACATATTTTGCCAATCACCTTAAAAGGCATTAATGTTGGTTTTTCATGACTTTTAATTATTACTGATCATTATGAAAGGTTGTTCAATGGAAAAGGCACTGGAGTAGGGGTCAGAAGACTAGTCCCAGTGAGGTTGTCTTGAGAAAGTCACACGTAGTCTGTGGCTCAGTTTGTAACACCACACCTAACATATTTCGGACCAGTAGTTACCCAGAGGCCAGATAAGTTTCTATTGAACGAGTACAAAAAATGTTTTACATAAATGTTAAAGGCACGCTTTAAAATTAAATACCCATTGCATTTTGAAGTTGTTTATTACATGTTCTTACAAGCTAATATCTTTTTAAAGAATTCTCGTGATTGGCCATAAGCCTCAGAACAGAAAACACGAGAATTCTCGTGATCTGTCCGAAATGTTTAACAAGGATGCTGACTGGAAAACAAATTTTCAAAAGAGGCCAACGAGGGGCATAAGGTCATCAAACTATGTCTATGAAAAAAAATTGACAGGCTGGAGAAGACACCTCGCTGTGTTCAGAGATTGTCAAAGCCATGACTTTGACCTGATAGGAAACTAGGACCAACTGATTGTAGCTTTAAGGAAGCAAGAAGGTGTTAATAAAAGAACTCTTTTTTAGAATTACCTTTATTTTGGAAATTAGAAGCAGAAAAATAAACAACTCTTATCATACAAAATAAACAAGCATTAACATTGTCATACTTTAGATTTCTTAAACAAAACATTACAGAAAAGTTGAAGTCCTGGGCTCCCTTCCCCTGTTCCATCCTTCTTCCCCAAAGGCCCCCACTCACTCTCATGGACTCAGGGTGTAGATCCAGTCCATGTTGTTAAACTCATTACAGACAGATACAGTCACAGTATATAGAATAATTTTGTATGCATAAAATTATAAAGGGCACACTACTGTTTTCAAGATGTTTATATAATAGCTATAGCTAAATATAGTTACCAAGTGACATTTCATCATAAGAATGTACTATAGCTTTGTTAGTCCATTTCCCTGGCCATTGGGCTTGCTTCTAGTTTTCATTATTATAAACAATGAGTCTATGCATGTATCAGTATCTCCTTGTGCATGCTCAGTTCCTATGGGGCAAATCAGCATGCAGTATATGAACATTTCTCTCCATTCTCACCACACTCGGTACTGTCAGACTCTAATTTTTGTCATGCTTATGGGTGAGAAGCCATATCCTGTTTTAATTTGTAGTTCCTTTCACCATTTGAGTTTCCTCCTACAAATTGCCTATTCATATTCCTTTTTTCTTTCTTTGATGGTTTATTTTTCTTCCTGATTTATAGGATTCTCTGTTCTGTATGAAGCAAAAACCTTATCCTAGTTAGATTTTTCACTTTTGTTTTTCCCTTGTTGAGGTCATAAACATATCCATTCTTTTCTCCTATTTGTATTAAAGTGTTTTTTTCCTACATTAAGATAGTACATATGGGGAGATTTTTATATGGGTTAAAACCTAACTTTTCCTCCCATATGAAAACTCTCAGTTGTCGGAATGCCTTTAATGAGTAATCTGTTCCTTCCCTGTAAAATGATCTATATATATATATGTATATAAAAGCCTTATATGCAAATTGTCCCCTTGGGAGTTCGACTGGGAGACCGGGAGTTTGATCGCTCGCTATGACGGGTGCTGACCACCAGGGGGCGGCGCAGAATGAAGGAAGGCCCCGGCTGGCTGCCAGGGAAGGGAGGCCCCAGCTGGCACCCAGAAGGCCCTGGTCGGCCCTAATTGCCAGCCAGGCCTGGGGACCCTACCCATGCACAAATTTCATGCACTGGGCCTCTAGTTTTCTAATAATTGCGATTTCCAAAGTAGATTGAATGAGTGCAGGATACAGTCTGGATGATTCCACTGTAGCTAGGAGGGTATCACAGAAGAATAAGATGAGAATAGTATTTCCCAGACAGATCCACACCCAAAAGAAAAACAATAATTAAGTTTACTATAAAGTTAAGCGTGTTCCCTTTAAAGGACCATTCTTTTCATGTTCTTTCATCAAATGATGGCAACAATAAATGGAGACATTTTATATTTAAATGCCCTTGACAGGCAAAAAAATGGTACCTGTATGTCTGTCTCCTATTTTTAAAAAGTGTTTAATGGTCTGTGAAACTAGTAAGGTGAGAGGACTGTTAGGGCCGCAGTGGCAACCTAAGATTTTCTGAAGTATATGTGGTGAGGTTAGTCTAATAACAGGGTAATAAATGGTCCTAGCACCAAGTCTCACTGTTTCAAACTAGGACCTACTCTGACAAAGGAACTAATTTTTTCTTCAAATATCGGACAACATGATTTGGACACAAAGAGTAAACAGATTCAGCAGTGGATTGAGAAAAAGTATAAAGTTCAAGTTACTATAAAGAAAGCAAAGAATGCAGAAGAGCCAGAAAATAAAATGGTAAGTAAAAACAGTAACTGTTTTTTGTTTGATCTAAATGTAAAAACAACGTAACAGTAATTCTATTAGTGATAATAGCTTTCCAATTTGTTTTTCAAAATGCAAGCATACTGTATATACATTACGTTTTCCATTGTAGCATATTTTGCCATGTGAAAACATTCTACATCATAATTTAAAGGCTATACTACCCTATTTTACGAATTGTAGAATATCTAACATTTAAATAGGAAAACTAGAAACTTTATATTCATTTTTTAAAATTTGTTTCCTCTTTATAAATGCCTATAAGAAGCATCATATTTAAGGGCAAATTGTCTTCAAGAAAGTGTGTATCTGTTTACAATCCCAGGGTAAGTTTATGGCATATCTATTCTGCTTTCTTTTTTAGTTAATCCTCACCCAAGGATATTTTTCCATTGATTTTTAGGGAGAGTGGAAGAGAAACATCGACGTGAGAGAGACACATTGATTGGTTGCCTCCTGCAGGAACCTGGAATCAAACCCAGGACCCTTTGGTCTGCAGGCTGATGCTCTAGCCACTGAGCAAAATCGGCTAGGGCTGTATTTCACTGTTAGAGTTAGTTAACTTATCAGCTAAAAGGCAGCATCAGCCCAGTGGTGGTCAGCCCTAGTTCCACGTTAGAATCACTTAAGCTAGATCCCCGACCAACTGACCCAGGATCTCTAGAACCAGTGTATTTTTCTAATGCCCCAAGTGACTGTGAGTGAGTGTTGGAAACTGCACTAGGCTAACAACCCAAACGCACTGCTTTATACTTGGTTTTGCAAGAAGAGATAGCTTGGGGCCAAACGTAGCCCCTCAGAGCATTGACAGAGTAGGGATTTCTTTAGTGCCTTAGTTTAGTTACATGGAGTTTGTGTAACTTCCTGGTTACTATACAGGTTTCAATCAGCTTAACTGGACATGATTTAGCTAATCACTTGAATAGCAATTCAAGAACTGGGTATTAGAGAATCAAAACACTGGTTTTAAGTTAAACTTTGGCTGTTTTCCCTTCTTAGGAGGAGCTATTTAATCAAATCCTCCAGACTATGCCTGGAATAGCTACCTTCTCATCCAGGCCACAACCTGTTAAAGGAGGAAAAGCTGTAATATGTGTTCTTCGTCATTTGAGCGAAAAGGAAGAAATTGCATATAGACAAACTCAAGAGACCCAGGAAGGAAACCCTTTAAACAAAGAAGATGGAAACGACAAAAAATCAGATATTCTGCAACAGTGATTAAAGAAAAATGTGCTTCTGAGAGAAAATACAGGAATACCTCGTTTTATTGTGCTTCACTTTACGGTGTTTTATAGATGTTGCATTTTTCCCCTCAAATCAAAGGCAAGACCCTCCTCCACAAGCAAAGGCATTTCAACTTGCTTTATTGCACTACATGTTTTATTGCAGTGGTCTGGAACCACCAATAAGGTCTGCCTGTAACTGAGCTGGCTGGTCTGTGGAGAACATTGGATGTTTAGCTAAGGGTAAGTACCGCAACTGTCGAGAGCACTTTGTCCTCAGTGCAATTCAGCAACTCTCCAGTTTTAGGCAAAGATAAGCCGCGTTCTTGTTTCCCTTTAGGAGGAATGTATCCACTGAGACGGGAGGACAAACTCCGTTTTCCACGAGCTTGTTTTACCTTTGGAAACAAGGAAAAAGAATTCAAAATAAAAATTACCTGAATTTTACAATAGTTGTACACCCTGATAGGTACACAACACTCCTTTATAAGAAAATAAATCCATCCAATTGCTTTCAATAGTGGTGCAGACTCACACAGTATGAGAGTCAAAAATATTCTAAATAGACTGCATCTGGCTCCAATCAGCAATTCATGTTTTAGAAACAGCTCGCCTAAGTCGTCTCAACTTACTTTGAGCTTCATTTTCTTTTTGTCAGGGTCATGCACAACAGCATGCCTAGTGAGACTCTGCTGCAAGGAAAGAAAGAAAACGTTCTATTTTTAAAACATTGCCATTTGGTACTTATTAACATGAAAACTCCTGAATTATTTAAACAGTCAGCTTCTTTCTGTTCTGTTCTGTTGAGGGGTGTGGCCTCTACCTACAAGGAGGCCACAAGAGGATTCTTCCTCAAGTCCTAGACTGAGATCACCGCCTCTTCTAACAACCCAGGTTAGTAATTTATAATCTCGATCTCCTGTGCTTCTTAGCTCTTCATAAGTAAGAGGTTGGGGAAAACTAGTTCCAAACTAAAGGAAGTTGGTTTAACTGAAGCTATGTCCACAGCATCCCCAAACCAATGGAATATCTGGCCAAAGTCTTGCTGTTCTTGATAATGCCGACCACCAGCAGCTCCAAGTTGTGTTCTAATGGTTCAGACCTATGCTGAACCAGCCTCATTTCTCACTTCAGTCTTCATTGTAATTCATGGTTTAAGTGCTTGTAAGTGCACCAACCAGAGTGAGAGTCTGCAAAACCGCACAGGCCCCTCCATTTAGTGTCATGTTCCCAACCTACTAGAATCATAAAAAGATATACACTAGATAGATGCCCAAGTTCTATAGTCCCTCACTTCCCTTCTCAATCCCTACATGACTGTGGTCTAAAAGGGTGGCTCCTAGGTGTTAGCAGCCTAAAAGGATACCTAAAATATCAGCATACTCTTTTGAATAAGCATTTGGTACCATAAGCCACTGGTTCACAAATATAGCCCACGTGAGAATCCCCTAGATCAGCGGTCGCCAACCTTTCAGACCTCACAGACCACCAGTGGTCCGCAGATCACCGGTTGGCAACCACTGCTCCAAAGGTTTCCTTAAACCAGCAGTCGCCAACCTTTCGGACCTAACAGACCACCAGTGGTTTGTGGACCATCGGTTGGCGACTGCTGACCTAGAGGGTTTGTTAAAAAGCATTCCTGGGCCCCTGACCCCCAAGTTTCTGATTCAGCAGGTCTAGAGTAGGGCATGTGGATAGGCATTTTTTGCAAGTTTCCAGGTGACGTTAGTACTCCCAGACCAGGGCCACACTATGAGAACCACTTGGCATAGGCAGATCTGGCTGTACAGCAGACTTTAGCTCAGAGCCACTCCGGTTAAGCAAGAATGGAAGGTCTTGGAGGCCTCTTCACCTGCCTTCCCACTGCAGGCCCTGGGGCACCATCCTGGATCCCAGGGCTCCTAGGAACCCGACGAGAAGCCTCACCCTGGAAGGACTGCACCTATGAGAGTCAGTACTTACTTTCATGGCAAAAGTTTTGCCACAGCCAGTGTGTTCACACACAAACGGACGCCTTTCCTCATGAAAAGAGAGAATATGGCTCTGGAGATTGAACACAGTTGTATAGGTTCTACCACAGCCTTCTCTTGGACATCGACACACATCCCTTTCTGGGTTATGTGTTTTCATATGTTGCTTCAGATAATCTTTGCGTTTAAATGTTTTCTGGCATACTTCACATATTATTTTCTCTGGCAAAGTAGACAAAAAATTTTAATTCTCCCAGATATTATCACATAGAAAATATTAATATCCAATTATATAACATATTCAATACCTAAAACCTTATGATTTTACATAAAAGTCAGAAATTTCAGAGGAAACTAACTCCAGTTTTTATTGCTTAAATATTTGTCTCAAGTCTCCCAAGTTCTTATATTACATAAAGTCACTCTTGCCAAGGAGCAGGGGTCTCAGCAAGGTAGCTGTGGGCAAAGGGAGAAAATTAAATAGACCAGTTTCCTTCCTTGTCCTCAGTACACCGGGCATTCTTCCTCAAACTGTCCCACAGAACACCAGTACCTCCCCAGATTTACTTGCCATAGCCTTTAAAATGCTACATATGCAGAGTAGCTCAGAGAGACCCAGAATAGCTCTTCCTAAACCTGGGACTACAGGTCTCTATTCTCACTTTTCAAACAGCTGAAGTGCATAGCTCCTCACAAAACATCTATTATAAGTGCATATTTCTCTCTTTAAAAGCACTAAATCAGTTCTAAAGGGGTAAATGGTTATACCAAGCCATTCATGTGTACCTTACCCCCCCTTTTATTCCTTTATTGATTTTTAGAGAGAGAGGATGGAAGAGGGATAGAGATAGAAACATCAACAAGAGAGAAACATCACCAATCGGCTGCCTCCTGCATGCCCCCTACTGGGGATTGAGCTTGCTTCGAAACCGGGCATGTGCCCTGACCGGGAATGGAACCAGTGACCTCCTGGTGCATAGGCTGATGCTCAACTGCTGAGCCACACCAGACAGGCTGCCTTACCTTTATGGGTTTCTCTCACATGTTTCAGGAGCTCTGTCCATGTTTTTGCCACAAAGGAACATTCTTTTTGACATTTATAGCCTATTAAAAAAAGATAGGTGTTGCCTTTTATGAATATTCAGTGTAAACATCAATCATAATTAAAAAGGAAACCTACATGCATATGTAATGTTTCTTCTACCTCCCAATAGTATTCTATTCTGTTAGTCTCACGAGGTGACAGTAAAAACTGAGGTTGTATTTTACAGTGAAACCAAACAGTTGCATATCAGGGTACTTCATGTAGGTTATGAGCTTAGCAGACTATCATAAGGAAGAATGGACATATGAGCTTAGCAGACTTCATCAGGGTACTTCATGTAGGATATGAGCTTAGCAGACTATCATAAGGAAGAATGGACATATGAGCTTAGCAGAACATTGACTTCATTAGAGTACTTCATGTAGGATATGAGCTTAGCAGACTTCTTTCCCTTTCCTGATGTTCTCAGTAAGCGGACTCTACTGCACATGGATGCCCAGCTGCTTCAGTTTCCCCCACCTCCATGGCTCATGGCCCCTCCACCCTCCCTGCCTTATGCTAGCCTCTCTTTTTCCTCAGCAAAAAAGGTGGTCCTTTGTCCTTGGCAAAACACCAACACTAGAGCTCAGCAGTTATATGCCCACCCCGGCTTCCTCTAGTCTTACCATCTTGTAAGTTTCATATGGCAAAAAAGCAGGGTACAGCTAAGGAAGAAAATAAACTAGAATAACCAGAGAAAAAGACTGAACAAAAACTGACATTTCGTAAAGCACTAGAATTGGATTAATCAGTCAGTGTAACAGCTCTCCTGAGTTTTACCCAACTAAATAACAGATAGAAACAAAAGAATGAGGCTGCCTATCACTCTCTTGTTTAAAAAAAAAAAAATCCCATAAAGTCTAGGGCTTGGGAAGTTGGAATATAGATATCAAAAATCCTATATGGAAACATAAGAGTCAAGTAGTCAGTTTAATCAAGTCTTTTTAAAAAAAGTTCCAATCTGATTGCTCAGAAAACTCCAAACTATTTTCTAAACCCTTTGAGCGCTCCTAGGAGAAGAGTGACACAGGAAGTAAGTAGAAGGGGTTAAAAACTACTATGAAGAAGCAACACCTTGGCTGGAGCACCTGCCTATCACAAGACAGCACAACCAGGCGCTTGTTCTGAACAATACAATATGGACTTTGAACAGTGACAGCGGAGTGGAAGAATGGACACGGCACACAGCACCTCTTTGGTCAAGAGTATAAAACCTGAACAAGCAGAATGGTGCCCCGCCTAGTTCTACGTTGCTCAGTAGGATCATGGAATAGAGTAGAAAGCAGCAAGTACTCAAAGACTTACACACATACACGCTATGGTTGGTGTGTTAGTAAAGTGAATACTACAAAGGACCACGTACGCACCCTCATGGACCTTCCCGTGTCTCTTCAGCCTGCTGGGTGAAGCAAAGTGTTTCCCGCAGCCTTCATGGGTGCACCTGGGTTAACGAGACAGCAAGCATCAGCCAGTCCGTTTTCACAGAGAACTCCACTTAGGGTAAATAGTATTTTGTCCTATTTCTCTAACCAAAGTCTCCTCTTCCCACAACCAAACCAGTCATATAAATATGAGACCCTCTCATAGTTAAAATTCAAATTACCTGACCAAACTTGGAGCAAAACAAACAGAAAAATGTCACATTACATATTTTAGCTTATGTGATCAAATTAAACACTTTTATTTTTTTTTATTTTTTTTATTTTTTTTTAAATATATTTTATTGATTTTTTACAGAGAGGAAGGGAGAGAGAAAGTTAGAAACATCGATGAGAGAGAGACATCGATCAGCTGCCTCCTGCACATCTCCCACTGGGGATGTGCCCGCAACCCAGGTACATGCCCTTGACCGGAATCGAACCTGGGACCTTTCAGTCCGCAGGCCGACGCTCTATCCACTGAGCCAAACCGGTTTCGGCCAAATTAAACACTTTTAAAAAATTTTTATTTATTTCAGTGAGGAAGGGAAA